GAAGCATGCTATTTTCAAAACAGCAGGTGACATGCTGAGAAGGAAAGCACATACTGAGGGAAAGAAAGACCGTTCCTGTCATCAGAGATCCCTTCACTACGCTGTCCATTGGAATGGGCTCTGGCTGTACTACGTTTGGCCGTCCAACAGAAGTTCAGAGTCATAGTTTCATAGTTGGTAGGGTCGGAAGGGACCTGAGCAGATCATCAAGTCCGACCCCCTGCCATGGGCAGGAAAGGATACTGGGGTCAAACGAACCCCGCTACGTGGCTGTCTAGCCTCCTTTTGAAGACCCCCAGGGTCTTGGAAGTTGGTTCCAGCTCCTAGCCGCCCTGACTGTGAAGTAGTGCCTCCTGATGTCTAGCCTGAACCTACTCTGTCAACTTATGGCCGTTGTTCCTTGTTACTCCCGGTAGTGCTCAGGGGAGCAGGGACTCCCCCAATGCCTGCTGGTCTCCCTTGGCAAGTTTATAGGCAGCCACCAGATCCCCTCTCAGCCTTCTTTTGTGGAGGCTGAACAGGTTCAGGTCCCGTAGCCTTTCCTCATAGGGCCTACCCTGCTGCCCCCTGATCATGCGAGTGGCCCTCCTCTGGACCCTCTCCATGTTGTCCACATCCCTCCTGAAGTGCAGCGCCCAGAACTGGACACAGTACTCCAACTGCGGCCTGACCAGTGTTGCATAGAGGGGGAGGATCACCTCCTTGGACCTGCATGTGATGCCTCTATGGATGCATGACAAGGAGCAGTCTGCCCTCATATCTCTGTCCTTCTTCCCATGGACCTTGGAAGATTCTTCAAGCTCCTGCAAGGCTTCCAGAAGGACAACCAGGGTGCTGGGGAGATCACCAAAAACGGCACAGAGGTCTTTATAAGAAGGGAAAGTTACTATGGTGCATCCAAGCTTACTGCTCTGCAGGATCACCCTTTAGTACATCTGCCTCATCCTTTAGTACAGATCCCTCACCTTGGCCTGGCATTGCTTCTCACCATACCTGTACCCCCTGGCTTGCCTGTTTGTGACCGCTTCGTACACATCTGTGTTCTTACGATTCCTGCAGAGTTGGGCTTTTGCAGCCTTTTCCTGAAGGGGTAGAAGGGCCAGTACCTCCTTCCTGCTCCTTTCACCCTGGAGCACTGGGGCCTTGGGACATATCTTCCTTTGCAGAAAAGCCATCTTTGTCCACTCAAAATATATCTGAACAGAAAAAAAGGCTGTGCCCAAAATAAACTGAGAGCTTAAAAGAGCATGGAGCAGGCTTTCCAGTAGCTTGGCTGCAGGCAACAGAGTCCAAAATTTGCCACAGCAACTACCGAAAAGCAGTATAGGATCGGTGCTGAAGGACTGCTTTGACTGACAGGAGCAAAGCTGAATCCAACACTAGCTTTATATTGGTGGCTGAGGGCTTATTATTGCTTGCAGAGGTGGTGTTAGTCCACTGACACAGACCTTAAGGTTTGTTTGGGTGGCAGGGAAATAGGCATCACCTTTCGCCACCAAGCAAACAGACATCTATGCCCCTTGTTGCACCAAAATGCCCAACATTTGTGGCTGCGACAAAGGTAGCATGCATTTATTGTTATTTAGCAGTAGAAATCTATTTGCTTTGTGACGGGAGAGCCAGGGCAGCCTGGAGCTGCCTGCATTCTCCAGTCACCCTGGGCAGGTGCTTCAGGAGCCTGATCCTGCATATCCCAGGAATTCCCATTCAGGATTGGGCCCCTGAAGCCCTGGGAGTCAGCCTGCCAGCCTTCCCCTCTCTCAGAGACTTGTTCCCAGGAATCTCTGGAGTGCATCTCCCCAACTGGAGAAAGTCAGGGTTTCCTGCCCAAAGAAAGCCCCAAAGGGGCAAACCGCCCAGGCACTCCCAGGGCTTAAGGGACCTGACGCTGCACAGGAATTCCCAGGATGTGCAGAATAGGGCCCCTCAAGCCCCAGGAGAACACGTTGCCCATTATCCCACCCATTAATGCTGCAGGACAGTGGGCGACATGCATTTTGTCCAATGAAGTGGAACCAGCTGGGCCGGGAAACATCCAGACACCACTGATCTACTTCATTTGGCAATATTTATTTCTAGTTTTCAGCCACGGTGTGCGTGGATGTGCGCAAACATGTCAGGAGAATTCCAGTTTTATTGATAAAACTTTCTAAGGTACCAGAGACCTTAGTCAGGCTTTCCACATGTTAAACTAATGACTAATTTATTTAAGCTATAGCTACAACATACCCAGACTGGTTATTTACATGGATGAGATGTTTTTGAACATGTAAGGTCTTAAATATTTGGCTGTATAACTGCACGAGGTTTAAAAAATGGGGACTGGAAAAACACCTTCTCCTTTTTTGCTATATGCACTTAAGGCTGCACATCTGCACAAGCCATGGAAATTCTATGCACAAGTGACTTAATTCACTTATCTGGAGAATTTAGTCCTTGCAGATTTTTCATCCAAGCACTTTGCCTCCTTTTTAGGCGCAGTAGGCGGATGTTCTCTGACACCACTTTTGCATTCACAATCCATCTAGCTACATTAATGCTGCAGAAGTAAAAAGGCAATTTTCATGACCAGCCTTCTTGAAGACAACAGTTATTGTGGCCATTTAACTCAACATGAGACTAACGCACAACACTAGCATCATGTTGCTTCACAAATACAAAATACAAAACAAGGCATTTAAAACCAAAAGAAAATTGCAAGAACTAAAACAATAACATTACATGAGTGCTGTCACGTTCTGCGGACATAGCTTTAGCTTCTCACTCGACTTATACTTAGTGCAGAAGCATCCTGTGAATAAAGCCAGGGTTCTGTTAGCAAGAAAGCCACCCAGGATATTATTTCAGTACCAAAGTCTGCTTTACCAGTGTCATTTTCAAGTTTAACACATTTCATTCCTTGTTTGGGCTTTAAATGCTTTTTTTCACTGAACCAAAGCAATCATCACAGAAACTAGAAACCTCAAAGTAAAAAGAAAGAAAAAATGCAATGTTAAAAAGTTAAAACATATTAATCACAACACACACCGTTCTTAAACTTAGTTTAACTTCCTTGCTTAAAAAATAAATGTATTGTGTGCTGAAGAGAAGCACGACACATTCAAAAACACACACATATATATTTTTATAGCAGAACAGCAACTAGAACCAACTTAGAGATCAGGCACACAACAGCATCACAATTTGCTCCTTCAAGTCAGTTTTCTCACTTACCATGGAGCTGTTTGTACTTTTTAGAGTATGCCGAACAAGGCTCCCTAGTTACCACATCTACTGAATCTGGTAGAGACAAACAATACTTTTATATGGGGCATTTATGGTGTTCAGTTTTGATTTACACATGTGGAACTTCAAACAAAAGTCCTGCTTTTAATGAATTGGAAACATTTCCCCCTTTTCTCTCTCAGCAAGTAGTTTAAATTAGAAAAAAGAAATTACAACAAGTGGCAAGAGAATTCCCCAATTTCACAAACATTTCATTTGGAAAAACAGGTGACTGCTTTGTACAATGTCATTTCCGGATTAGCCACTTGATTCTTCTTCACCCCGTTTAAACCCATGTTAGGCACATCCAATTAACTGAAGTAAATAATACCACAGTGTGTATTCTGGATATTGCAACATGGCTGTCTTTTACATGATACAACTATACTGAGAAATAATACATTGTCCAATGTCCCACCAGGGCGGGGAGCAAGAACTCTCAAAAAAGATCCACATTGGGCTTTTACACATCCTGAAACTGTCCCTCCATCACACATACCCCCTTCAGCCACTCATCTAAACCATCATTTTCAGATCTCTGCTGATGCTCTAGCAGCAGGCAGCTCTGCCACTTTTTTTCCAGATTTGGTCCCACATGCATCTAACTCCCTTTTCTCTGGAATGGGTGAACTGCCCTCTTGTATGTCTTACTTGTGTAGCCGATAAGGAACTTATGGGAGTGTGAGAAGGAAATACAAGGGCTAATGAATGTAAAGCTGTTGCTGCTGTTGCTTTTTACAAAAGGTAAAGGAAGGGCAAGAAGTTGGCAACTTTCCCTCACTCTGCTCCTCTTCTATAGATCCCACTGGTGCTTCTCTATTAACACTTCAATGGTCCACAGACTAGGAAGGGGAATGAGCAGTCCTTGGAGCTCGACTCAGATCCCTGCTACCGGACTGCTGGTTACAGTGCACGAGTGATGATTTTTTTGAGAACAAGATCACGCATTTTTGCAGCTGGAATTCATTCCAATTTCCCATTCAGGGAAGGAGGCAGTTTTATTACATCTCTGAAAGTAGCATTTTCATCCATTGAAGACACGGATCTTAATCCAGGGAAAAGAGCCCACATCTTCATTCCAACTTGCTCACTTGTTTAAACATTTGAACAGTGATTGGCTAGGATAAACTATTTTCACAAAAGTTAAATCGCCCAATTCATCTTCTCTGACAATAACTAGTACAGGACTGAGGCACCGCTGTTCACATTGACTTGGGAGGAAAGCTACAGCTGGGTTTACAAAAGAAACTCTGAAAGGATCAAAAGCCACATTCAAGCTTTGCACAATCTGAAGAGGTGGGCACTTCAGGAGCAATGAGTGTTACTTTCCCCAGTCTGCTCTACAATCCAAAGATCACATTTAGTGGAGAAAGGCCTTCAGATAAGTCCATTCTCCAAATTCAGACCCACAGATTACTTTCTTTTAAAATTCACTTAAATTTAATAGCCATTTCAGGAAGTAACTGCATTCAAGACAAGGACATGGTACTACTGGTAATGGTGCACTTAAACTGGAAAAAATACTAATAAAAAAACCCAAACAAACCCCAAGCAGCTCTGAATTTTGTTTCTGAGCTGGAAGCACCGTCTCTGAACCAATCATGATTCCAGTCAGTCTTGCTTTGAGTCCTTCAAGGCTTGAAGTCTTTCTAACAGAGGAGGATGGGAATAATGCCACATTGAAAATATCCAGTCAGAAACAGGGAATCCCAAATTATCTTTGTTCAGTTTGATCAAAGCAGAATACAGGTCTTCAGCCTTCCCAAGCTCCTTGGCAAATGCATCAGCTTGAAATTCAAATCGGCGGCTTAGTACAGTCAAACAGAAGGAGAGAACCTGTGGGGGAAAAATATAGCAAAGTGACAAAATCTCAGCAATCTGCAATTTTCTTAGAGGGCTGGAAAGTCATCTGGTAAGAACATGCAATCTGTCAGCAATCAAGCTTGAGAGCATTGACAGAATTTTGCAACATCTGCAGAACAACCACCGCCTTGAGTTCTTTTTCTTGCAGCCCATGAAATAAACTGGGCTTTAGGAGCATAGTCCAAGGGGAAAAGGAAACTCCTTGCAACAAAAAATTCAGGCGGAAACAACTGAGCTCCATGACATGGAGGGCAGAAGCTCGGAGGTCAAGGCATACTTGGGGGACAGGACACTGGCATAGCAAAAATTCAAGTTTTTCCCTACCTTTTCCACTGAAACTGTTTTTGGTTTGGGCATGCAAACAAGCTACTGTTAAGGCTAGTTAGGGTGTGGACTTACAGCATGTCAGCTACTCTCTCCACTGTCCCTGTCCAACCACGTTCCTTCCTCAACAGTAAACTGGAAGGTAGCTTACACTTCAGTTAACATGAGCTACTTCACCGTTACTGCTTGGTAAAAGCATGTACATGAGCAGTTACTATGACACAGCTTACCAATGTTAGTAAGCCAAGGTGTATACCTCATGTCATGATTATTTGTTCATGCAGTCATTTCTTGTGGTTAATATGTAGGAATGATATTCCAGCCTAACCACAAAAGATGGGACTTAAAAAAAAATCAAACCTAAAATGTATTTTATAAAACACTTTTCCATGGAAACCTCCATGTTTTAAAAAACTAAAACCAGAAAAACTGCATTTGTGTCATGTGTCACAGAAGTCACGGATTCAATGATTCTCAATTCATTCTACTGACACTCCCCCAGGAAGCTGTTTTAAAATGGCCTTTTATTATTTGAATTTTACATTGTTTTAAAATTTTACATTGTTTTGATTTCTACAGCAAAATTGAAGCTATAGTGCAGGATACAATCATGGCCTGAAACTGTTTCTAAAAATGCATTATCTGCCTGCCTTTCTTAGACTGGATCATGTTTCATTTTTTACTTTAATATTCCATTTGCTCTTTTATGTTCTGTTTCTTACTGTAAACCACTGTGAGCCTTTGCTGGAAAGGGCCGCACATAAATCTAATAAATAAATAAATAACCTATATTTTTGTATTATGATCTTGCCTACTCACACCACTCAGAGGTTGTTGCAGTAAATTACAATAGGATTTCCAGACCACTAACCATACCACTTAAGGTGAACTGCTTACATAATACTGCCACCAGAAATTCCAAACAATTCCTTGCAATATACCAGGAAAAATGATTAAGTCACTACCTAAGCAGTTTGATATTCAAATATCTCTCTTTTAAAAGAGATTATTTTTCATAAAAGTTGTTATTTACCTCATTATAAGGTGAAAAAATGAACTGGAAGATAATCATCAGGCCGATCAGGGTAGGTTGGGTCTCATAGAAACCAAATGCAGCAAAGAGTTCCTTCCGTCCAATTAATACAGCAAACAAGAAGAAACAGAGAAACGAGTTCATCTAGAAAGAAACAATATTCCCATTAAAATGGGCACTTTAGTTTAGCATACAATTATTGATTAAAATTCTTATGTTACAGTTATAATCTGAAATAAAGGTATTGTTGGGGGGGAAAAAGCATGTTATTAGGCAATTAAAAACCTCTTATAACGCACAGAAAGTGGCTCACTTAAGACTGCAGTTAATCTTAACTGAATTTCCCAATTCCCAAGTCCTTGACTTTCCAGCCTTCACGTTGTAGCTCTGCAACATAATTATAAAGTTAGTGTCCATAAATCAAAAAGGAGTCTTACAAAAAAATGGAAACTGCCATATTACTGGGGTGGACTATAAAAAAATTGTATAGGCAGGCAGAAAGAAATCAGGAGGGTCAGGTCACAAATTAAACAGAACAAAATAAGAAAGCATATAAGTCACAAGTAAGAGGAAGACCAGAGACTGTGCAAGTCCCTAACTGAATGCAGCATGCAGTCCAATAATGATGCAGAGAAAGCTGAAGTATTTAATGCCTTTTTTTCTACTTCAGTCTTCACAAATAAGGTCATCTACTAGGTGACAGCCTAGATAGAGGTTGGCCTAATTATTCTGAAGTGGCAGAATGTGTTAGAAATGACTTAAAGAAGCTGGTTGTTTTCAAGCCGGGCTGGTGTGGATGCAAACTAGAGCATCTCAAGAAAACGGCTGAAGTAATTTCAGAGCCAAAAATCTTTGCCCCAAAATTCAGTGAGTAGGGAAGGAATGGAGAACCAAGGTGGCCAAGGAGCTGCAATACCCCCACCCAAACCAGACAAAGAACCGACAGAGCTGAATGGCCCAAGGCACTCCCAAGACTTCGGACTGAGAGATGGCCATTTTACAGCTGACAGCATGATTAACAAGCATAACAAACATGCTTGACACACATGAAGTAGTAACACAATTCTGCATTACAAAATACAGTAATTAGGATGATACTCAAAGACGCCCCTCGAGTATTTACCTGGCTGATGACAATATTTTTGATGGTGTGACCTAGCTTCCAGTGACCCAGTTCATGGCCAAGCACAGCCAAAACCTCTTCATTTTTACAACCTTGCTTCTTATTCTGTGTACAGCAAAAAGGGGAAGAAAAAAAATCTTAGTATCACCATTATCTACAATATCTTAACTGTTAATTTGCTTTTCCCAAGTCCCACACAAGCCATCCCAACTTATGGTTATTTTCCTCCTAGCAACAGAGGGAAACAAAAAAGTTAATAGTCTGATTTTATCCCTTTTTTATACAGATTCATACAGCCATCTACAATGCATAACTCTGTTGTACTTAGAAGCTTTAGAACAATGTTATGTAGATCAGGGGTTGGCAAACCACAGCAACTGGACCCAGATTCAACGCATGAAGAACTTGGATCCAGCCTGTGGTGGGAGGGAGGTAGAAGATAGGGAATTGGTGACACTTAGGGAAAAAGTGAACAAGTCCCAGAAGTTCAATTTAGAGGGGCCATGTTCTGCATTCCCAAGCTACCTGCTACTGCCCCGGCCCCCTTTGCGCTGTGCTGACGGCTCTTCACTGACATCCTCAACACCAAATCTGTTGATTCCCCACCACAGCTGTGCTGATTCCACTTGGTGTTGGTGTAGCACATAAGCCGAGACGCTCCAATAGGAAGGCATGCACTAAGCACACCTGGTATGGCAGCAGAGGTAGAGGCAGCTCACAGACAGCATCAGGTGGGTTGTAAGCAGTGATCTGCACTCATTAAAAGTTGCCAACCCCTAGTCTAGATAGTGATTTGTGTGCGCGCCGTGTGTAAACAAATCATAGGCAGAATTCTTCTAAATTCCCTAATGGGAAAATCAGTTTGCTTATCTCTGAAAGTACTAATCAATAAACTGATTTTCCTACTTTGAGAGATTTTTAGTCCTTTCCTTCTGTTGGTGAAAAGGAAATTTGGGAAATATCTGTGTTGCTAAACACTTTCACCATTAGCTTTTCCGCTCAGACATGGTCCAATAAGATGAAAACTCTGGTCTTGAGGCAAAGAAAAAACAACGTGGAGGCCAGGGGCTGTTTCCTCAAAGGAAGCAGGGCAATGAGCAATGGGCCACCTCCCCCTGGGGGCTCCATAGAAAGGGGAGAGACTGAGGGAGAGCTATTTTTCATGTAAGCAAATGGTCTGTTTGGCTGACCCAGCTTTCTCCTTTATGCTGTTTTTGCAAAAGAGGCAAGCTTAATTGAAAAACATCATTTGCAAGATGCTAAGCCCAAGTCTGAGCGAATTCCCCAAGACTTTAATAATAGGTAAATCCAGGGTTAAGTGAAACCAGTCATTTTATTTCAAATGGGTTTAATAAATTCAGGCTCTAGTCAGACAGAACAGGTTTGCTTCTTGTCTCACAGCTAAACTGTAATGGGACAGGCACAGGGAAGTTCTTCCTGAATTGAAATGAGGAATCTCTTTCCCAGTCCCTGAAGACTTTAAACAGGAAGACCATGGCACTGATTGCCAAGAAAAGACATTGGAAAGGGAAAGAAGCAGATTTTGAGGCCTCCAACGGAAAACAGGTGGTGAACTTGGGCTCAGTGAAGGAAGAAATGGCATAGGATGATACTATTCAGAACCTCGAGAGGTAGAAAAACACCAACAGAGTTCTCAAGGGGTTATTAGGAATCTCAGGATACAGTGCTTGACTTTCTGGTGCCATACCCATGCACAACCCCAGCAAACCCATTTACATCAGTATTTCAAAGATGCTTTTGTAATGAAATCATCTTGTTTTGTTTTAAGTGCAATTCTGGTTTTGTTTTTAAAGTTTATTCAGACCTATAATAAAACATGCAAAAGACAAAAGGGAGAGTTCTCTGGGGAATTATGAAAAACAACATGAAAGGGGAACAAAAATTAAGCTCACTTTAACTTTGGACTTTGTCTCTTCATCTTCAGCTTCTTCACTTCCTTCTGATGGTTCTTTGTTCAGTGCAGAGTAATCTTCTAGGAGGGTGTCAAACAGCACTATCCGCTTATTCTTGAAGAAGCCATAAAAATAAGCATTGCTATGGGAAGAGCGCTTGGACCCTAGTGGGGGAAATTTACATTAAAAACAAGGGTCAAAACACTTTATGTGCATTACAATATAGTTGTGCTACCTCCTATTTACCAGACCTCTCAGGGGAGTTCTCTCATTATGTAAACTGGCATGGATTCATTGCAAAAATTAGATTGCATACACAGAACACAAAAGAACTCTCTCGCTGGACAGCTTACAACCCTCCTTTTACCCTGACCCTGCTTCCTTCATCCTTTGTCAATTCCAAGACAATTATTTAAGACATCTTTTCTGCTGGAAAATGCAAATAAATGTTTTCCTTTTTGTTGGGAAGTACTTACTAAAGACTAAATCCTTGGTATATCTGGATGGAAAACAAACCTGTTAAAAACACCTGTATTTTATTATTATGTGCAGTAACTTTTCATACCATTTGGAACTACAATACTAACATCACCCATAAAAACTGGTCCAAAGCACTATGGGTTTGGTGGAAAGACTCCCACAGTGGGCTTTTGATTAGTAACTAAGTTGGTACTATATCACAGATCATTATAAGCAGAGTTGTTAATTAAACCAATTGGGGGGAGCAAAGGGGCATGGGGGAGGGGCAGATCAATGCCCCCCATGGTGAGGGAGGGAAGGGGCAGGCACTGCCCAGTGGGGCAGGTGGGGGGGAACCCGGGACAGCGCTGCGGCTTGTGGTGGCTCCTGCTGCTGCTTGCACCTTGGGAGGGCACGAGGGGGGGCACGTGCCCTGGATCTGTGCGGGGCAGGCAGGGTGCAGCTGCCGGCTGGAGCTGGTGCTGCGTGGGGCTCTTCTCGGTGGTGGGGGGACTCAAAGTGGGCACCAACAGCACTGGGAGGGAACTGCAGCCACCCCAAATTTCACCATCATTCTGCTCTCAGCGCCGCCGCAAGCCGCCCAATACGGCTCTGGCTTTTCCCAGCTCATGGGTGGAGGCAGGAATGTTGAGCTGGGACTGCACACAGCAGCCCCCACCCCCGGCCCGTGCAAGTCCAGGGGTACTCACCCCCCTCCCCCCCTTGCCCTCCCAGGGTGCAAGCAACAGCAGGAGCGGTCCCCCACCGTGAGCCACAGCTCCGCACTCCTCCCCGCCCCAGCTGGGCAGCCCTCTCTCTCATTGCAGGGGGCATTAATCTACCCCCCCAGCCCCTTCCACCACAATGGACTGACCAGCTGGAGGCAGCCCTCCATGCTGCCAAGCCGTGCTCTTCACTGCCTACATGCTGTGGTGCAGCTGTGCGCAGCACGGGCATTTATCAGCCAAATTATCGGCTCCATAGCGCTGATATCCGATACATCAAATTTTCTTTGTATCAGTACTGATCTGATATTGGATCGATGCATTGGTGCACCTCTAAAGAAAACGCTATATTTTCTTGTTTAAGGTCCTAAAGTGAGACCTAGGAGAGCTGTTTTTTTCCTGGTTCTGCCACCTATTTCTTAAATAATGGTGGGCAAGATCATGATAATACTTGCATATAAGAAAACCAAATCAAGGATGTACAATCATATTACTGGACTATATTTAAATTATCACTAAGGTACAAACTGTTATAACATGCCTTCATGGATGTGATAGCAATCCCATAGAAAAGGGATCCCACGTGCCTGGACAGAACGTACTCGTTTGTTTTGTTGAATGAACTGCTAAAAGAATCTTTAAAAAAAGTTAGATATCTGCGGCCTCCAAATAAAAACTTAACAGCCTCACCTTCTACAACATAGACCTTAGTCAAAGGGAAGTCAATACTCTTTGCCATGACTTCAATTTCTTGTTTGAGTTCTCCCTCAGGAAGTGGAATGAACTTATCAAACAAAGGGGCAATGTAGTCCGCATAGATTGTAACAAGGACCTACAAAACAAACACAGGTGTTAAAACAAGGCACAGAAAAATCCTGGGTGAACTAAACTGCAGTTGGTCATTAGCAAAATTACATCTTAAAATTTGAGAATATTTCTACATTTAGCTCTTCTAAATACACATTCAAGGTAAGACGACATTTGAAAATATGAACTAGCTAGCCATACACTTGGAGGGGGGAGCAATGAAGGTAGTGAGAGATCAAAACTGAGACAAGGGGGGAGGGACACCAGATGTGGTATTTACTAATATTTCAAACAACAGAAACGGAAACAAAAATCATCTGAAATACTCCAAATTTAAAAACAAGCACCCCTTTCATTAGGAGAGAACAGACCAAATGTTCTATTCCTCTGTCCTGCCTGCACTCCACATCCCACCTGCCCTCCGAGCACACCACCCGCCTGGAAGAATGGGAGGGAGACCTTGTGGTGTTCTCCACCACCAGCCTTTCAAGTGACACGGCAGAGGCACTGAAGCCTTCTTTCAAATTAAAACACTTTGGAAGCCAAGATATATCCAGTATCCTAAAGCCTGCACAACCAGAAGAAATATATATTCTTCTTAATGCTAAGGAAGCAGAACGTTAAGATGAAGGAAGAGGGCTGGCATGCGTATAAGTTGAAAGGAAACTATCTAGAAAGATCCCGCATATCCACTGTCTATGAAAAAGAAACTTGGACTTGGATAAAACTGGTCAAAAGAACTATTTTTCTTGCCCCCAAAAATGACAGATATCTCAATGAGATACTCTGTAAGAGATTTTGAGGCTAGAGACAGAAGTTACACATAAATCAGTTTAAGTGATCAGAAACTGGTTTAAACCTGTAACAGAACAGAAGCTCAGTGCATATAAACCAGTTTCAAAATGGCCAAAACTGGTTTAAGATAATTCTGACTGAATGTAGTATCAGACTGAACTGATTTGGGTCCAACCGGTTTATACAGCTTCTGCCCCAGACCCCTTCCTGGTTTAAGTTAAACCAGAGTCCTCCAGCATCCCGGCATGCTCTGCAGCCCTGGGCTGGGCTGTCTGTTCCAGAAAGCAGGGCTGGCCCCACCCTTCTCCTCTTGAGCCGGAGCAGGGGCAGAGACATGGCCAGACACAACCTGGCATGGCCCGTTACAGCAAAGTGGACAGGGAGGGGGTTAATTCTTCCCTCCCCCCCAAGCAGGGGTCTGCCTGTCTGCCAGCGAGACAGTGCCCCAGGGGCAGAAGGGGAGGGAGAAATTAACTTTCTCCCTCCCTCCTTGCCCCCTTCCCCTTCATGGGGTCATGCTGGGACAGCCTTGTCTGGCTATGTCCCTACTCCTGCTGCTGGAGAAGCGAGGGGAGGGGGAAGGGCACCAGTCTCCATCAGGGTGCCCCAGGGAGCACAAGCACGAAGGGGGTTTATTCCCTCCCTCCCTTCCCTGTCCCACCAGCAGAGACCACAGCCGTCCCAGCATGGCCCCTTAAGGCTAAGGGGGCAGGGGGGGGTGTTAATTCCTCCCCTTCCCCCACCGAGGGACCACAGCCAGGGTGGAACAGCCCTCCTCCTCCCTCCCGTGGGGCAGCGAGGGGGACTCTTCCCCCACTTCCTGCGCCTGCAGGGTGGGGAGGGGGGTGCTCTGTGTGGAGCTGCCTGGCTTGACCAGCCTGGGTGAGGGGGCTGGCTGTCGCTGAGCCGGAGCCACTAGGGAGGACCCCACCCCCATTGCCCAGGCCGAAGCAGGTGCATCGCAGGGCCAACCCAGGCCCCAGAGGCTGCAGCTTGGTCACAGGGAAGCTGAGCCCCCTCAGTGAGTGCAGGCTGGCTTGGCACATGCAGGTGGCGGCTAACCAGGCAGCAGGCTACCCAGGCTGGCTTGGAGGCACCACGGGAGGTTGTGTGTCTACAATGAGCCCCTGTGGTGGGCAGCTGCAGGACTCTGTGGCGAGGAGGGTGGGGGAGGAGGGGGAATAAACCCTCTCTGGGGCTGGGTAGCACCAAAGAGCCCCCCTCCCCACCCTGCGGGGGGGAGGCAGGGGACAAGGAGGGGGAAGAGCCCCCTCCAGCACCACACAGAGTCCCCCTGCCTGCCCCGCAGCAGTGGGAGGCAGGGAAGGAGGAACAGGGGGAAGAGGACAACACAGCCCAACTTGTGAAACTTGATTAAAACTGGAATATACCCTCTTTTTTTTTTTTTTTAACAGGCTACGTAACTCACATCATTTAAGGTTTGTTATCAATGGGTTATCAGGAGAATTTTGGTTAGAGATTAGAAGTAGCTTTCTGACTATGTGGGTGGTCAAACATTGGAACAAGCTACTGAGAGTAGCTGTAATATCTCCATTCCCAGAAACCTTTAAGAGCAGGTTAGACAGGCACTTGATGGGGATAATTTAAGTTAGGGATGATCCTGTCCTGAGCAGGCGGGTGGGCTAGGCAACCTCATGAGGTCCCTTCCAGCCCTACTTTCCTATATTCCGGTGACTCAGTGCTTGACACACATCTTCTGAATTAGAGACCAAATATAAGTAATTCCCCCCTCCCCCACATGGGGCATATGAGCAGCAAATCGCAGCTCTGCCCCAGCTCCAGCCGCTGCTGCAAAATCCCAGTCCCAGAGCAGCTCCCTGCCAGTACTGCTGGGGCCAGTCTCCATGGAAACCCTGGCCCCACCCCATCTCCAGGTGTCTCCATGGAAACTGGCTGCAGAAACACGGGCAGAGGCTGCTGGGAAATGGAGTCTGCTGCAGGCCTGATCCAGCCCATGGGCTGGACTTTGCCTGCCCCTGATATATTCAAAACAATGAATACTAAAATTCAGTTTCTGTAATTGCACAGCATTACACACAGAGGGGAACAATTTGAATTATTCACCTACTAACGGGTTCTAAATTAACTAACCATTCAGGAAGAGACCAGTATGAACAACTCAACAGGCAATGGTGTTCAAAGTCACAAAGATGTTAGCTATTTATTCACTTATTTATAGAAAACTTCATAGCCCCCAAATTTGTTTTCAGTTTGCATCAGAATAAAAATGAGATATTTTGACATCTGCACAAACACGCACAAGAAGCCCACCCCAGACGAGCCAACAGCCCACTGGCCTAGCTTTCTCATATCCTGGAATAAGTACCTTAACCACTCTGCTCTTGGCTGGGGTAGATCACTGTTTAGAAATGCCATTAGACCCATGAATCTCTCTCACTTAATGCCTTATCAAAATGCATTAGTTTTTTATGAAAACCTGTTATTTCAATGAATTTGCATTTTCCAACAACTATATCCCTCAAAAAAAATCACTAAGCTTTGCTATTCAATAACTTGAGCGGTGATCTAGAAAAAAAATCATTAGAATTACTTGGGCTTTAATATGGCCAAATGCAAGGTCATGCATCTAGGAGCAAAGAACAGAGATCACACTTATGATAAGACACAAGAAATGTGTCCTGGAAAACTCAAAAAGAACTTAACAGTCACGATGAAAGCCAACTGTACTCCAAATCCTAGTTTCCTAGGAGTTTGTGTGGTGGGTGACACAGCAAATACAACATCTGGACGTATAAACTGGAGAATTAAATCGCCTTACTTTGATACACAATTGCATTATAATAAAGATTGAGAGATTTGAATGTTTCTTCTGTGTATTGTATTCTGCAAAGAAACTAGGATTTGAAAGACAAAAAATGTATCTCCATACTCACCAAAGAAACAACCAATGTGAAAAGCCAGGCATAAATGAAGAAGTAGTCTCCCCCTATTTTAATAATGTAAAGCAGAAGAGATGTCACCGGTAATAGAATACACTGTGTCACAACAAACTTCTTGATGGCATCCTTAAAAAAAAATCCCAGTGTCTGTAAAGAAAGGATATTCATATTGTAAGTATTACTGTAGTACAGCAAGTTAATGAATTGGATGTCTGCCTCATGTTCAGAAACTACCATAGGCTAGAAGTAGATTGCATCCATACATAATGGGAAATACTCTGAGATCAGGCAGGAGGAAACTCCAGGTCCCAAACCAAGGCAGTTACAGACCTGTCCACCTGGCATTTTCAGTAAAACACTGAATGCAATGCAGAAAGATTATTTTTAGAGTCTATCCCAACCATGTAGTTGCTCCAGTAAAAGGTACCACCCACAAAAATCCTTGGCTCTTGCATATTTCCTTGACCTTGGTGCCTACAACATCACTTGAACACTACCAAATCAATTTTAGAGGGTTATTCAGTACATTCTACAATACCTGCTGATTGAAGCCATGTTTCTCCTCTATAACGAATGTATTATACAGACTCCATGGTAGGCCCGTCACTGCACTGAAGAGCGTAGCAAGCAGCAAAAACACCAATGACTGAACAATCTAAACGCAAGAAAAAGAATTCCTACTTGTAAATCTTCTACATCAGTGTTATTCCTCATCCTACCAATAATAATACTACTCTCACTACCAATAGTGAATGTAATGGAAATAGTGTAAATGGAACTGGCTAGCTGCTAAAGAGAGAGAGAAATGCGAGCTAAAGATAAGGCAATTATTATTTATTTTTTGTACCACTGGAACAGCCTCTTAGAGATATGTACATCTGGAGATGACCTGGTGGGGGAAGCATTTATCATGGCTGTGAGGACAGGAAGGGTAAGGGGCACTTTTGCTGAGAACTATGACCTTGGATTCCCCTTCCTGGAAAGCTGGCACAGGACTTGTGGAGGGACAGCAAGATATCTGTGGATGCTTATCTACATCAGAGTTATGTCACTGAGCTACCCAGTGCTAGTATGATCTAATACAATGGTGCTCAAGCTCTGGCCCGTAGACTGAAACTGAAACAAGGCCGCACTATCGGCCCAAAGAGCTCACCACAGGTCTGGAAATCTGGCTACCAGAGCTGTGGCAATTAATGTTACTGCTGCTTCCCCAGCAAAGTTCTGGACCTGTGGGGAGCCCTGCAGGCCTGATGACACAGCCTCCCTGCACTGGACCAGTGCGGTGCCTGGGGCTGGGCTGCAACTAGACCAGGGGCCAGACTGCACAGACAGACTAACCTTGCACACCAGCCTGTGACAGCCAGAACCAGAGAGATTAATAAGCAATAATGTGTGCTTCTTGGAGGCATTTGGTATTTTGCCTAAATAGGTAATATTAGTTAATATAAGCTTGTAAGTTTGTAAACTGCAAATGTAACTTGTCTGTCACAAGTTTAACCAAACTGATAAATTAACTGTTCATGGAACTGACTGGGCCCCAGAGGCAAAGCTGTAGCTGTGAGATTAGCTGGCCTAACAGTTTTTTGCTCAGGGTTCAGCCTTAGCGATAAAAACTGGATCTAACTGCTAGGCACACCCAAACACATTCCAGGAAAGCGTATCCCAAGAAAGCATATTCAACTGAAGCCTAAAAGGGGTTGGGATTTAGGCGGAGCGATGTCAATTTCAAACCTAAAGGTGCTGCATCATAATTTGCATATTGGATAAACCTGAGTCTGGGTAGTGACCTTTTATGATAATTTTAACACCTTTCAATCCCATAGGGCAACAGCTATAGGGCAATACTGTGAGTGGCCCTGAGGCCAACAGATTAACATAAGACTAGGTATAAAAAACACATGCATCAGATGACCAGCAGGAAGGAGGGAACAGAACGGTCATTTCTGTCCCACGCCCGGACCCCAGACTCCCGGTGTGAGTGAGGATTGGATCCTAAGCAAGGGACCTTCCCCAGTAATCCCTCTGACAGCGTCAATCATCAGGGACGCCTGACTTTGCTGGAATCACTTGGCGCGCACCTGGCATTGAGGGACTATCGATAAGTTGCCAACCCATGTCTGTCTATTTGTTGTTTTGAACAGCCCAGTGGGGCTAATACCCTCACAGTGCCCAGTTGGCCTGTGACAGATTGATCTATCCATCTATCTGTTATTATTATCTGTTGTTATTATTTTACTATTAGCTCTTTTATACTGCCTTATCTGCTTATCGCATTTATCTTTCTGTTAACTGTTGTGGGTGTTTAAGCAATAATAAATTTGCCTTTATTCCACTCCCAACTTTTGCCTCCTTGATCCAAAACTGAATCAAACAGCCCAGTTGGCCTGTGATAAAATTGATACACTCACAGTGCCCAGCTGGCCTGTGACACTAGCCCCACACTGCATCACACCCAAAAACCATCATACCTGAAAGATTCAACCCCCAGTCTGGCTTTGCACCACTTATCCAGCTCACAGGGCCAAAAGATTGTGCACCACAGATCTAATATACAAGCAGGCATAAAAGTGACAGGTTGAAGATACCACGAGACTCATGAGTCATAGGCCCCTGCTACGTCACACGTTATGCATTTAACTGGTTAACCATGCAATAAATTTAGACCAGCAACACACACCAAGTAATTATCACACCATGAAAATGATTATCCAGCCATGGAAAGAGCCAACCAGCTACAAAAGTTAGTGCTTGAAAATGTGCAACTCTATAGCTGGTTTCTATCCAGCTTTAATTTGAACATGTAGCAGGGCTCTTAGGAAACAGTGACCAGTCTGCTCTGAGAGTAGGTAGGAGTTTACTGAAAGCAGAGCACATTGTTTGAGCTCAGACCAACCCAAGCAGTGCCCTCAAAAATGAGATCTGCTGGTAAGGGCCAATGCATATTTCTCTTAAATGATTCATATTTATGTTCAGCAGCTTACAGATTTTGAATACAGCTTCTCCCTGGTCCTGTTGTAACCTGGGCTTTTCAACTAGTCATCTAGGTACAGTGACACATGCCCGAGCATCTGTAGCACGCAGTGAGGCAACCTCTGAAGACCCTTGTATCTATACACAGGCTAAAGGAGCATTTTCTGTACTTGAATTGCTTGTGTCCCATAAAGAACCTGAGGAATCTGAAGGGATTTCCCTTGTGGCAATGAGCGTTCCTTTAGTCAAGATGAGTGCCAGTCTCCTTGAGAAAGAAGAACGACAACTCTTCCTCCAATGTTCCTGAAGGCTGACTCTTTCTACTGCTGGAAGGGAAGGATTCAGCTCCCTTAGATCAGGAGTCAGCAACCTACAGCCCATGGACCACATCCAGCCTGCAAAGAAGTTGACTCCAGGTCTACAAAGGTCTGACATGGCCCAGGGGATCAGGCAAAATGCAGCTATGCCAAGCCACCTGTACCCTCCACAGCACCCTCCTCCCTGCTGCTCTCCTGTGCCCGTGTTTACCCTTGATGCAGAGTGGCCAAGCACTTGTGGGGAGGGTAAACACAGGTGGCTTGAATGCTCTGGCATGTTCAGAGTTGTGGCCCATGACAGAGGGCCAGGTCAAAGGCTCTGACCCAGCCAAAGACTGCCAAATCCTTCTCTAGATGAAAGGAGGAGGAAGTAGGCCTGGCTCAAAACTGAATGGAACATCAGTCATTCACAGCCTTTAGCAGGCAGTGACCCAAAATAAATATGCAGCTTCTTGTATCAAGGTAGGTGTTAATGTCTAAGGGGGGGGTTAGGGAAAAAGTTCTCTTTTTGGACTGGTTATCCCATAGCTGCAAGTGTCCTACTTCTTCCTCTAAAGCAGCTGGTGCTGTTTACGGTCAGCATGGATAATGGATTAGGTAAAATCTTGGTTTAATCCTGTATAGCAATTCTTACATTCAGTCTCAATAATATCAACATGATCTCTTCCAGAGGCAAAGGAGGGTCTAAGCCAGTTCTCCACTCACTATATACCACAAAAGTAAGTTCTTACTGAATGACTCAAAATGAAGTAGAACCTAATTATAGGCCTGAACCAGAGTCCACAGAAGTCATCAGAGCCCTTCTACCAACTTTGCTGGTGTTAGCTCAGCCCTATACCTAGGGCTATTCAACAAAAGGTAGATTTTAGCAGAAAAAAATAAGAGAAATCCTAGAACTATGGAAGAAGGATGTTGGGATATGTAATCACCATGGCAAGTGACTGCCATATTAAAATTCAAAGGCAAGACCCTGAAGGAAGACAATGTTTTCAAGTTTAAAATACATATTTTCAGAATTTTTCTGTTTTTGAAGGCCTTCCTGTGTCCATTCTGAGACTGCAAAAGGGTGTCATAGAAAACTGACAGCACCCGCTTGGTTGACTTTGGACATCAAAGACACGGTGGATGACAATTCTCTCCTTTGTAAGAGACTAGGTTGGATTTTAGATAGCAAAAAGAGACTCCATCCTGTCATCAATCCTCAGAAGAAATATCTAGTACTTTTATCACATGCTCACTGGGCCCCAATCCTGCTTTTATTAAAGTAAATGAGAACATGATCAACTTTTGTTTCAACTTTAAGCACCCATACAGTTTAAGAACCCATTGTTTTCAAGAGCACAGTTAAAAAAAAAAAATACCTACCTCATATTCAGGTCCAAACCCAGCACGAGCAGAGATTTTTTCAGACACATTCCAAAGGAAAGGAATGCCTCCACAGAGGAGAATCAACTATAAGAGTAAATACATAGAAACACAATATAAAAGCAGGTATTATCTCAGAGTACAAAATCATGATGACCAGGTAAGTATTTTAAAGGCAACTTGGAAAAGTCTTATAGACACAACCATTTTCTGAGGATCTACAATCTAACTTGGGGGGGGGGGTGGCACTTTGAGTGGGGTTGTGTACCAAACATGGGTCCCAAACATATGGATTTAGGTCATCTCATCTGAAACATTTTGACCGGATATTTTAGCTTCTAACTTTTTAGATTCTCAAGGATTATTAGACTAAAGCTTGAAACAACATCCACCCAACATAATCTCTTGTCCTAAGAGGATACTGGGGTCAGACCCCTTAAGGTTCAAATGAATGCCATTACTGCATTCTCCCTTTGGGAGATCACAGAATCATCCATCTTCAAGACCCTTTTGCATCCTGAGAGCAAGTTATCCAAAACATACAGGAGCAAACAAAAAGGGGCGAGACTTGGAGATCTTCCATAATTTATACCTCCCTTGAAAGACTCAAGTCAACTGTACAATGCTCAATTTCTCCCACATCAACTGATTTTGATCTGGGATTTGAACACCTGAGTGCAGTAATTTCAAACCCAAATCTTAAACCCTTGAACCATGGTTTCTCTAATCTAGAGGGCAAGGTTAGGGAAGCACCACAGCCAGCAGCTTTCTGGGGGCCATATAAAAGAGAGAACTGCACAGAAAAGAATGTACCAAAGAAAAGCTAATAAATAGGGCTAGTGATAGCAGAGAACTTCTAGTCTCAGCACTCCCAGCACTAGGTGAGGGGCAGATCCTGCAGAGGGTGCTGGGATAGGCAAAAGAGACAAGAAAAGTCTGAATAATTATGAACCAAAGCAGAACTTTGCAGGGCTGGCCCTGGCTGTGAAACCTGAAGAGGCAGAAAAGGTGCTACAAAATCACAGGCTGCAGGCTGAGGCAGCTCTCCGTGGCTGTCAGTGTTCCCAATGAAACAGCGCCTAACTCCCTATTTCAAGGGCATGAGATAGCTGGACACAAAGGCACTTTTGAAGGGGCTCATAGCATCCAAATGAGCTGGCAACATCCGCTCTTTGTTCAGAGCACTGAAAGGGCAAAACAAGCTAGCATCCTTCTGGACACAGATTCACAATCTCATTGGCAAGCTCCAAATTAGACCCTTGGCTTTAGACCTGTGAGTCCTAATTTCCAGCTTTAAAAGTTTATGAAGGGGATTAATGATATTATTTATTTGCCTAAAATAACAGGGGACTAGATTCAGTGATCCACAATGTTCTTTCCAATCCTATGTATATCACTATGAAAACCAGAGAAAGGCTGTTTGGGCACTTGATATCTATATCAGTTTGCAGAACTTATTTGCTTTCTTGGTTTTTTGGGAGTAGTACCACGATAGTATCTGTCCATTAATTCCACTAATTCGCTGCTGCATGACAAGAGAAAAGAAGTATGTCTCATTTCACCAAAAATTTCAGAGATACTCGTGAACATCAGTATATACCAAAAACTATATACATATAGGTCACACAATTCATAGAACCATAGAAAATGAGGGTTGGAAGGGACCTCACGAGGTCATCTAGTCCAACCGCCTGCTCAAAGCAGGACCATCCCCAACTAGATCATTCCAGCTGAGAGCTTGTCTCTCTGGGTGTTAAAAACCTCTAAGGATGGAGAATCCACAGCCTTTGGGTAGCCATGCTCCAAAATTTACCATAAAATTCATGAAAAACATTCAAAATGGAGAAATCAAGAAATTAATTGTGTTGCCTTATGTTCTATAGTGTACTGAAAAAGTCTTTGATGCTATACAGTTTCACAATAACACTATTTCCCATCTTGTTTTATAATTATTCCTGCATCCTTATAAAAATAAATCATTGTTTTACACTACCATTTTAATAACAGATTTGTAATATAATTCAGTTGTTACTTTGGGAGCCACGCTTCTAGAGGGCAACAGGTAAAATATTATTTCTGCAACAGGTAAAATAATATTTTTCAAAAGATTCTCTGTACAGAGTAATTTACAGCAATATAGTTTAACAATATTTTATTTCACATTATGTTTTATATAATTATGAAATGTTTATGCAACTTAGTCTTAAAGATCTCAAACAATAAACTTCCCAATACACTGGATGCAACTATCTTCCAACATGATTATCTTTCCATCTTTAACTTAAACTAACCTAAAAATAACCCTTCCCCACCTCCACAAAGACATAAAAATGTAAAAAACCTAAGATAATATTACAAAGGGATATTTTAAATGACATTAACATAATGGAAATACAGTAAGTAATATCAAGCAGGCACAATCATGCATAAATATTAAGCTATTTTTATACAGTTAATTGAATATGGCAACTGACAACGTATACTTCTTTATAACTCACAATTCATTGATTACATTTTACTGAGCAGTTTTATTGTCACAAAATTCACTTTTTTCTCCACTATAACACTTTAAGATGCTACATATTATTTTATTTAAGAAATGATATGTAATAATGTAATTACAGACCTAAATAAGTTATACCTGGAAGAGGGCAGTTAAAACTGTATAATCAACCTTTGTATTCCTTGTGTTTTTTAAAGTAAAAATTCAATACAAACGCACACATACTGCTGGAGTGGAGGGGGGGCAGGAAGGCCTAGCACACTTGCAAGCTCCATTGATAATGCATTACTACTTGGTCAAAATATGTTTCTGCTTGTATTCTACCTCCTAGGAGGCAAATAAGGGAGGTAATGCATAAATAAGTAGATTGTGGTTATGAGTGTTTTCATATAGGGGGGAGGAGGGGTTGTGAAGAGGAGGAAGGTGCGACCAGTTTTGTGTTGGCTAAACAAGTTGCGTTTAATACAGCAAGATAGCTAGTAATAACAGAGTTATGGTAAAATTTCTCAATTTTACCTAATGCTGCACTTCTATACCGAGTTGGTGAGAGCACTGGCCCTACAACTGCATAGTAACATTAAAAGTCAGATGTTTTACATTCAAATACAAGATACAAAGATAAGCATTGTAGAAATCCAAAAGCAGTTCAGGTACTTACAGTGCCTTCCACCTCCGAATACAGGCCTGACCAAAAACTAAAAGTACTTTTATCCAATTGATACAGACGAGATTTCTCAAATGTTTCCGAATCCATAATCTGTCCTAATTCCCATGGTACGTGGGTTGTTGTTCTGTACACCCTCCTCTGTAATAGCAAGAGAGAGGACTTAATAAAATTTTACGTCAGATTATTTACTTGTATTTCAATAGTTAAATCGCAAAATCCAGAACAGTTTTATCCACAGGTCATCATGCAAGTGTATCAAGGTAACAGTCTGTTCTTGACTGACTTATTCTCCATCAAACCACAAATGCAATTTCAGACCAAGAATTGAGAGATGTGTTTCATATTCATTCCTAGCCTTTAAAAATATACACAAAAATAATTTTCTATAAATGTCACAGAAATAGCTTCCAATCCAGAGCATGTTCTGGAACTGTAACAATGCAGAATGCCAATCAAAGGGAATTTTCCCTTCTGATGCATGTGTGGGACTCCCAATGACTTTGCTGAGAACTTCAAGTGCACAAGTATGGCTCAAATATCATAAACCAGGACTTTCATTTCACTTATGGGAAACAGAATTTCCCCCTGTTCCTTAATGATGTATTTGAATCTATAAGAACACAAGTACATTTACTTTTGTCTATTAGGCTAAGGAGACCTCAACTGTCCCGTCTTTCACTGCATACTTCCCTGAAGACAAGTGACAGGCAGCTCCTACCCAAACTTTTGTGCAAGCGTGAAAACCAGAACTGAAGACAGTGCCTAGTAAAAGGCTCACTAATACCATCAACAACAATAATGCTTTCTACCTTCTCCTTAATAGTTCCCTACTTAAGATGTTCTCTTTCAACCACTTCTAGCTGGTATGTACGTTCAGCCAGCGAGTCACATTTTGGGATCAAAGTCATACTTTCCACAATATGGTCCCCCAGTCTTCACGCATGACTTACACCTCCTTTGTTCCTTGATGAATGACATGGCATGCGGCCATAATAAAACACTTAAGGCTCAAAGAAGGTCACATTCCCGAACAATACAGATAAGTACAAAAAAAATTAACCATCTTTATAACAACAAAGCAAAGGTACCAGAGCTGGTGAGGGACAATAGGGAATGGTTAGGTGGTTGCTATAAGAAGAATTTTAAAGAAAGGGGAAGAAGGGTCAGAGTGGAGCAAATGGAAATGGCAACATAACACTGCTCAGAGTTTTTCATTTTGCGCTTTTTGTTTTTGAGATTGTTTGCCAGATAATAAATAAGGAAGAGACATTAGAGGGATCAAAGCTTGAAGCCTGTTACCTACTGCACTGGCAATATATGCAGCTTCTGCAAACTGTGTTGCCAAAGACTTTATATTTTCTTTCAGATCATTGGCTAAAGATACTGAAGTAGCATTAAGCATAATAAAAAATCCCTATGGGACCTACCGGAAATACTTGCTTGGTACACCTGATATCAAATACTAGCTTCCCAGAGGGAGGAAAAACTCAACAAGCAAACAACCACCACCACCCACACACACATCCTCTCAAACTTTAATTTTTTAAGGCCACTTTGAAAGTCTATTAATATGGAGCAGGCAGGGGTATCAAGTATGCAGCCCACAGGCCTGGTTTGCCCCATGGAGCCATCTGGTTCACAGGGCTCTTAGAGGGGCTGGGAATTCAGAGGCAGGGTAAGTGTGGGCATGGCTTGCTCAAATATCATAAACCAGGACTTTCATTTCACTTATGTGGTGAATTCCCAGGTGGGGCCGGGTGAGTACAAGTGCTGCCCAGCCAGGGCCGGATGGGCGCAAGGAAGGGTGGGGCGGAGGCTCCTGCTGCTGCGAGCTGCTTGTGTGGCTGCTCAACCAGGGGTTCGTGCCACTGTTCTCGGAGGGCACATGCCTCTGGATCTGTGTGGGGTGAGGTGGGCGCAGAGCTGACCCAAGCAGGGTGTGGGGCCCTGCCCCTGCTCTGATCCCACGCGCCCCGGACCCAAAGAAGCTGCCAGCACCATTGGCAGCAGCTGGCGGGGGCGGAGGGGAAGCAAATGCCCGGATGTGAAGCAAGTAGTGACAGCGTGGAGTCGCCAGGGCTGCTCTGCCTGCTCCGCGGGGCCCAGGGCAGTCACACCAATTCACCGCCCCCACGGATGGCCCTGGGTGGGCAGGATGGGCCTCACTGTGCTGCATGGTCAGGCAGCAGGGGCTTAATTGGCGGACAGCGAATTTTCAGGTGGCTGCAGCCTCCCCATGGCCCCCCCTGGGCCTAATGCCCTGCTGCTGCCTACCCAACCAGGGCAGGGTGGGCACTGGACAACGCTGCAGGGAGGTGGGGGCCGCTTGTCTGCAGGCAGCGCAGCAGCTCCACTCCGTGCCCGTCCTGCCCCGGCTGGGCAGGCAGCAGCAGGGCACAGAGGGGGTCGCGTGCCTGCGGAGAGGGGGCACGGGGAGGCTGCAGCCACCTGAAAATTCGTCATCTGCCCGGAGTGCAGTCCAGTGCAGCCTGGCCCTCCCGCCCCACCCCGTGCAGCTCTGGAGGCACACGCCTCCCCACGTCCTCCCACACTAGCAGCAAGAGCAACTGCCAGTGGAGGTGTCACACAAGCAGCTCGCTGCAGCGGGAGCCTTTGCCTCTCCCTCCTCACGCCCACCTGGCCCCGGCTGGGCAGCGCTTCTTACCACAGTCCCTCCCTCACCGTGGGGAGCGCTGATCTGCCCCCCACGCCCTTTCCCTTCCCCCTCCACTTCCACCACGACACAACCGGACACACCAGCTGCAGGCTGCTGCCTCCAGCTTCTTAAAGGAAGCTATCTCCCATTTGTAACGCTGCTCCGATGGGAAAAATGGTCCCGACTCACGTTTCAACTTGACACGGTTTTCAAGGCACGCAGCCTTTGTACCAGCAGCACGTGCGCTACATCTATACCAACCAATGCTCCAGCCAGGTCTAGAGACGAGAAGGGCGGCTGAAGAGCCGCAGTGAGCCACACACCGGAGTCATGACTCAGTACCCTCATTTGAATTTGAATTTTTTAAAAAGCCACGTGGCAGCGGTGGGGCGTCCCAGGGAGACGAGCCGGGCTGCGCCTCTCCCGGCAGCGGAGCGGGGTTTCCAGCGGGCTCCGCAGCGCTTCGAAGTCCAGGTCCCGGGAGGCGGTTGGGGGGGGCAACGAGACGGGGCTGCAGCACGCGGCTCCCCCCGCGCGGACGAGCGGCCCGGGCCGCCCCCACGCCTGGAGGGAGAAGGCACGTGAGGCCGGCAGCCGGGCCCACCGCCCCCCCGGCAGCGGCAGCGCCATGGCGGCCCCGCGCAGCCGGCGCCGCTTCCGGCTTCCGCCCGCGGTGCAGCCCTCAAACCCGTCCGGCCGCGCGCGCTCTGCCTCACGTCAGCGCCACCGCCACCGCCACCACTTCCGGTCCGTGTCATTGCGGCCCGGCTCCCCGCCCTCGCCCCACTTCCGGGGGGGGTGTTGCACCCAAACGCTTCCCCGCGCCAGCGTGGCCAGGCACGATTGTGACCGTGTCCGTAGGATCACTGCGCCCTTGCAGTCGGCGCTAGTCACAGGGCTCAAAGCGCACGGTGGTTTTTGAGGCAGGTAATGGATGCAGTATAGGTACAACTGATCGAGGCAGATAATTGATGCAGTATAGGTTTATGGAAAACCCAAGTGTGGGGGTGGGTTTTACGACCCCCAGAACTCAGGGAGACTTACCCAAGTCTGTGCTTGCTGCCAGGGCTCTCTCCTGACACTTGCCTCCAAATAAAGAAATGCTTCAGCTTTGATGACCCACTTCTCAAATTGGGGAGAGTTGCCATGAGCAATATAAAGTAAATAAGACTACTTATTTGCATATTGATGGCATATTTTTTTCAATGTACTAATTTTGAGCTTCCACTATGGTCATTTTGTATTTGAGACCTGGCAATGCTGCCCCGTGCCCGGCCTGGAGCCAGGTGTTACCTGTCTAGTGCTACCATTAATGCTTCTGTGGCCACACCCTGCTGCTAAAGCAGGCGGTGCCCAGTTTCCAACCTGTTGATCCTGGGGCCAGCTCCCCCTTGTGCCACCACAAAGCCCTTGTCTCTGTTTGTTCCCCCTTGGCCCTGCTGGTAGCAAAACCCCTTTACTGACACCTGCTTCCATCCCACGTCCCTGACACCAGGCCCCTCCCCTTGGCGCTGCTACTCAGGGCTTCCATGTGCCATGCTCCTTCCTCGTATCACTGCAAAGCCTCAACCTAAGTTGGGCACCTGCCTCCAAACTCATTGCAAAACCTTGTGGTTTCTAGGGGACTTAAATGCTGGCTAAGCAGCACCACGAAGGAGCGAACACCAGTTTCTAGATTGTAGTAGGGTGGGAGGCAGATTTTAGAAGCTGAGCTGGAGGGTATCAGACCTCAAAGGAGATCAAGGCAGGAATGGGAAGGTAATGGAAAAACTGATCTGGAAGAGACAGATGAAGATGCAGCAAAGTGGAAGGCGATTGCACAAGACAGGAGGAGACAGGCCGCTGTAGTAAAGTGGTTATAGGCCCTTGAGGCTTGGGGGAGGGGGTTGAATGTTCCCTGGATCATCAGAGCTACAATAAGCAAGCCTTTTGTGGTATGGTATTGGATGCAAAGTGCCCTTCCTCAAGTCTGGAAACTGTGCTTCTAGATCAGAGGAATGGCACTTTGCATCCAACAGCTCATCTAATATCTCCCCCAACTATTCAGATCAGACGCTCAGATCTGATCAATACAATCCCTCTGCTCATCTGGCAGAGGGATACAATAGTCAAGTGATAAGGGTGGACAAAGAAATAAAGCATGGAAATTTGTTGTCACCATAGGCAGGAGAACCTTAAAGGATATTTATTATTTTCTCTGCTGGAAGTGTCAAGTCACATTAAGATGCTGAGGGAGACATCTGATGAAAACAGCCTGAGAGCCAGCTGGAAGAAAGGAGATCCAAAGCATATTGGAGAGAGGTGAACTGCTGCTCAGCTTCAATTGATCAGATTGCAGACAGAATAAACAGAGTATCCACAAAACGGACAAAAACGACAGGCTTCCATACTAGGAGTGGACAGGACGTTCCCTCGGAAGCACAAGAGGAAGGGAATCTAATAAGATTCTGAGGTTAACTGAAGAGACTGCTTGTGTGGGGATTAAGGAACTGAACAAGAGATGAATAGCTAGATTATCTTCTCAGAAACCCACCCTGTGCTCTCAGGAAGGAAGCAGAAAATACTGGGAGTAAAGTGCTGGTTAAGTAGGATAAGCACCAGGTTCTAATTTTATGAGATGTTGGAATACCTGCTATGGAGGGAGGGTACTATATGATTCTGATGGCTTTCAT